AATAGTAGAGCTTTGGCTGCGCAAAAGCCTCCCCTGCTGTGTGGGTTCGAATGTTCCACAATTGGGTCAATCAAGACACTGAAGATTTTGGGTTCCGTTACGGTTATTCTGGCATGGTTACCTTATTTAAAGATGTGGGGGAGAATTCATGTAGTTATGAGTGACGAGCACTGGCACACATTCTATGTCCTCAATTTATGCTGGTCTACTAGGGGTAGCACCCAGAGTTCTTCTGTTTAATCCCAGTCATGTCTAGGCCTGGAGGTGCACTTCCTCCTATTTAGCCCCCTTGGTCTCGACTGTTAATCAGAATAATCTGCCATTAACTGTCCTACAAGTTGAATTAAGTGTAAATTGTATACATTATAGGCATGAAACTATTACTGACAAGGCCCAGGAGGACTGGAATGGTCAGTTCTGGCTTATCAGCCGTCTTCAGCTGGCCATAACTAACCCCAGGTGTTACGCCGCCCGACGCATGACCCCACGACCTGTTGACTAGAAGTCCAGCACGGTGGTTCTACCACTTTAGTTTGGGAGATATTAACATTGCTGGATTAGCGCTGAACGATCGGTTACAGAGCTCACTAGTCCTGTTCTGCCTTGAAGTTCAGTCTCGAGCCCCAACAACAGCCGCACAGCGGCTAGTAGTGAAGGCAGGATAACACTACTTATGGGTGGTTGTCTATGCACCAGTGTGAATATCTCCCGATCTAGACCGCCAATAACACGAGCCAGTGGCTCAGTGATTAGAAAGTTGGACTTCTAATTAACATGCAGTGGGTTCGAGCCTCGACTGGCGCAACACTCGGGGTTGGATATGGCTGGCTGATGACGGCTAATAAGTCAAAACTGGCACTTCTTGCCTCCCTAGTTTTTGTCGGTAAGTTTTTCCAGCCTAGACTACTAGCCGTCTAGAGGCTCTAGAGTGAGCCCCAAGGCAGAACGGGACGAGGAAGTCCCGTAGCCAGCGAACTTCTATGCTCCAATGTCTTCCCTGTCTCTGACTTCTGCCACAGTTGTACATGTTTTCTGGCATAATTATAACTGAATTAGATCGATCCAATCAGCTTTTTATGCCTATTTGTGGATATACTGCGTAAAAGGAAGGTATGTTCCAGAGGAAGAGCAGCTAGCCATTCGACTATGTACTAGCTACCCAATGCACCCACACCTGTCGGATTATGGAACAGTCTCTCGAGACTGATGAATAAGCGGCTGCGGACTGGCAAAAATTTGTGCCCAGGGTGCAGAGAACTGAGATCTAGTGCGCCGACTACCTCATGAAAAACCCGATATGA